AATTTATATCATAAGAGTATTGCCTGGCAGAAAACGTTGTAGCATGCAATGCCGCATCACTAAATTTGGGAGCCACGTGATGGCCCCGGCGCGTCCTAGGTGGACGCGGTTCACCCGCTATCGCGCCCCTCACACATCTTGCGCACAACTTAATCTCTACTTAAATAACAGGGTTCTTAAATTCTCGGCGCGTTGCTCCCTCAGGGAAGCCGCTGGCAATATGGGAAAACTCATTCGTTTGGAGCTTTTCAGTATGTACCGACCGGAAGGTGCGCAGGCAGTAGCTAACTTTGTTACTAGACTTCAAGTCCTACAAGGGACATCATGTCCTCCTATTCGGAGATGCGTACTTCACCTCGATTATTGGCCCGAATGGGTCTGGCAAGTCAAACTCGTGAGTGCCTCCTCGCCTCAGTCCAAAGGACCCAGGCTAACGCGCATTAGGATGGATGCCATATCTTTCGTTCTAGGAATCAAGTCCTCTCACCTGCGATCGAGCAATCTCCGGGATCTTGTCTACCGTGGCCGTGTTTTGCGCACGTCTAAAGTGGACGGAGAACCTGCTGCTGATGGACAGGATGGCGAGGAAGAGGAAGAGCCAGAGAGCATGGATGTGGAGCAAGATGCCGGTGGAAACGACCCGAAGTCCGCTTGGGTGATGGCAGTCTATGAGGATGATGCGGGTGAGGAGCAACAATGGCGCCGATCTATTACCAGCCAAGGTGTCAGCGAATACCGCATCAACAACCGAATCGTGTCCGCCCACCAATACAACGAGGCCTTGGAGGAGGAGAACATCCTGATCAAAGCGCGAAACTTCCTTGTGTTCCAGGGTGATGTCGAGGCGATCGCATCCCAGTCGCCCAAAGACCTTACCCGGTTGATTGAGCAAATCTCTGGCAGTTTGGAGTACAAGGCCGACTATGAAAAGTTCAAGGCGGAGGCGGAGGAGGCCGCAGAGCAGCAAACTATCCAGCTCAACCGTCGACGAGGCATCAACTCCGAAGTGAAGCAATACCAGGAACAGAAGCGAGAGGCTGAGAACTACGCGAAAAAGGCCGAAGAACGCGACCAGGCCATTATCACTCATATCCTGTGGAAACTGTTCCACTTCCAGCGGTTGATCGACGACTCCAGTGCTGATATCCAGAAATACCAAAATGAGCTCAAAGAGTACCGCCGTGGCGTTGAGAAATATGAGAAGAACGTCGAGGATGCCAAGAAGGACCATGCTCGAGTCGGCAGAGATGTTGGCAAGGCTGAGAAAAACATCACAAAAAAGGAGAGGGAGATTGAAGAACTCAACAACTCACTTGTGCCTGTGGATGAGAAGATCGACATCACCCTGAAAAAGGTTGAGAGATACGCGTCAAAGATTACTGAGATCGAAAAGGAGCGCACATCACAATCCAACAATGGCAAGCAACTAGAAAAGGACCTCAAGCTTGTCGAGAAAGCTCAGGCCCAATGGGAAGTTGAATGGCAGAAGACCATGAGCAAGAAGGGTGGCCAGCTGAGCGAAGCCGATCAGCAGGAGTACCGTAAACTCAGAGAAGAAGTGAACCGACGTTCATCGGCGGACTCGTTGAACCTTGACAATCTGCGACGGCAGAGAAAGACCGAAGCTGAAGCAGTCAATAGCTTGAAGGGCAAGTTTGAGAACACTGAATGGCAACTGAAATCAGTTGAATCCGATGTCCAGAACATGAACGAACGCAAGGCGTCTCTCAATGACACCGTCAAGTCCACATCCAAAGAGATCGAGCATAAGAAGAAGGAGTTGAACGCATTGACTTCCGAGCGTTTGAAGGTCTCGCAAGTGCGAACTGAGCTCGAGGAAAAACTTCAGGTCGTGTTAAGGAAACTTCTCGAGGCTGATGATGGTAAGAAGCAGACTGAGCGCGAACTCCGCGCCAAAGAGTTGATCTCGGCCTTGAAGCGCATCTTCCCCGGTGTCAAAGGCCGTGTCAGTGATCTTTGCCGGCCGAAGCAAAAGAAATACTCCGATGCAGTCAGCACCGTACTAGGTCGACACTTTGACGCCATTGTTGTTGACAACGAGAAGACCGCGAAGGAGTGCATTCAGCACCTACGCGACCAACGCGCAGGTCAGGCCACGTTCATTCCGCTGGAAACTATTCAAGTCAAGGCGTTCAACTCGAACCTGAAGGGCATGCACCGGGGCATGCGCCCTGCCATTGAGACTATTGACTATGATGATTCAGTTGCACGAGCAATTAGCTACGCGTGCGGCAACTCTATAGTTTGTGACGATCTGGCGACGGCCAAGTACCTTTGCTACGAAAGAAATGTGGATGCGAAGGCTGTTACCCTCGACGGAACTGTCATCCACAAGGGTGGTCTCATGACTGGTGGACGTGGTCCTCAACAGCAGAATTCCAAGCGCTGGGAAGATTCCGAGGTCGAGAACCTGTATAAATTAAAGGAGAAGCTCATGGGCGATCTCGCGACCCTGCCCAAGAGTCACCGCCGAGGCTCTGAGGAAGAGACCCTGCAGGGCGAGCTCGTCGGTCTCGAGCAGCGCCTCATTTACTCTCGTGATGAGTTGAAGGCGCTTGAAAGGAACCTCGAGAGCAAGCGTAGCGAGCTGGACTTCGTTAAGCGCCAGATGGAGGAACTGCGACCCAAATACACCGAGCGTAAGGAAAACCTTGACGAGCTAGACGAGACAATCGAAACGTCACAAGCTTCAGTCAGCACTGTCGAGGATGAGATCTACCGCAGTTTCTGCAAGCGCTTAGGGTATGATGACATCCGAGAATATGAAGCTCAGCAGGGTTCTATGCAGGAAGAGGCCGCACAAAAAAAGCTTGAGTTCACCACCCAAAAGAGCCGAATCGAGAACCAGCTCAGCTTTGAGAAACAGCGTATCCAAGCAACCGAGGACCGAATCAACGGCCTCAAGGCGCAATACGAGCGCGACCAGGGCTTGATTGAAGAGCTACAAAGTCAGCAAGAAGGAATCCGCAACCAGCTCGATGAATTCGAAGCGGAACTTGAACTCCTCCGAGAGGCCCTCGAGAAGCAAAAGGAAATATACGGACAAGCAGCAGAAAACTTGGCAGAGCAGCGTCGTGAACTCCAGAAGCGTAGCAAGCACGTTGAATCAGCGTTGAAGAATGTTAATGCACTTGAAGCAGAGATTCAGAGAAACTCTTCTAGTCGTTACACTCTTCTGCGTCGTTGCAAACTTGAAGACATTGATATCCCTTTGACCGAGTCTTCTAATTCCCTTGACAAGCTTCCAATTGATGACCTTGTGCAAGCAGCAGACCCCGATGCCATGGAGGTGGATGAAGGAGATGGTCTGGACGAGACTGCTCAGGTGCACGATTACGGTATTGAGGTCGACTTTGATTCTCTGGGTGAGACCCTGAAAGAGGTTTGTTCTCCTATCGATTGCTTATTTGTCACATACTAATTCAATTCCAGGAGGCCGATGACAAGCTCGAGGATGAACTGCTCGACAAGGTCCGTGTTCTCAACAGTGACCTCGACAAGATGGCACCGAATGCTCGTGCCATGGAGCGCCTGGAGAGTGTCGAGAACAAACTTCGCAGCACTGAAAAAGACTTCGACGACGCCCGAAAGTCTGCACGAAAGGCCAAGGAAGAGTTTGAGTCCGTGATGAAGCTGCGATCCGACCTCTTCAACAAGGCATTCACGCATATTTCTGAGCAGATCGGGCCGATTTACCGTGAACTCACGCGCAGTTCCAATTACCCCCTGGGTGGTCAAGCGTAAGTTTCTTATGCTTTAATCCCGACTCTGAATAATCGCTAACACCTCAAAGCTACCTCGATATTGAGGACTCAGACGAGCCATACCTGGACGGCATCAAATACCACGCCATGCCCCCTCTCAAACGTTTCCGAGACATGGAGCATCTCTCCGGTGGCGAGAAGACCATGGCCGCCCTCGCTCTGCTATTCGCAATTCACTCGTACCAGCCGTCCCCATTCTTCGTACTGGACGAGGTCGACGCAGCCCTGGACAACACCAACGTCGCCCGCATCGCCAATTATATCCACGACCACGCCTCGCCGGGCATGCAGTTTATCGTGATTAGTCTGAAGACCGGACTGTTCCAGAACAGCGAGGCTCTGGTCGGTATCTACCGGGACCAGGTCGAGAACAGCAGCAAATCGTTGACGCTTGATGTGAGTTTTAATGTGTTTCGTAGATATGGAAATATGCTGACAATGATTGCTCCAGCTTCGGAAGTACACCTAGATCGGTGGTATTTATGCGGATTGTGTGATGACCCTTTGCTTTTGCTTTGCTTATTTCTTCATCTTTGTAGATTATTGAGTCTTGCTGGTTTGTTTTCTTCTTCTGTCGGTGTCAATCTTAGGAGTAGGAAGCCCAGTGTCTATTCTGAGCACTTATTTCTATCGACAAGGCTGTTAATTGATACCAGTTCCTGTACTGTGTTTTTCAAGTCGTTCCAACCTTTCTCATAAGTCGTACCTGCGGGTAACCCTAAAAATATCCCACTTCTACAGATTCGGGACTATGCTTAGAGGATTCCCGAAAGTAGATATGAATAGATTCAATTAACTCCATCTAACTAGATGTGTTAAGGCCGCCACCATGTTGAAAACCTCCTAGAAGATGCTCATGGCAAAAGATAGGAGAGAGATACCAAGGCCTCGCAAAAAAAATAGCAAAAAACTGTCCACCTGTAAAACCACGAACCGACTGACTTCAAGTTCTTTTCAAAAGATTCAAGAACCTGACTTCCACCATGTAGAGAGGCACTTGTTGAAAGCACCGGCGTGGGAAGAGACAAATCGAAGTCTCAAAAGAAGAAAACCGAGAAGAAGAAAACCGAGAAGAAGAAAACCGAGAAGAAGAAAACCGAGAAGAATAAAACCGAAGATTGAGAACCGTGAACCGAAAAGACTTTTCATCCGCGAGACTTGCGGCCTATTAGCGAGAGGCAGGTAGTCATCGAGGCCCGATAAGTCAGATGCCAACTAGTTTGTCGCTGTCTGTGCCACAACCTCAATTTCCTTCGCAGGCTTCACCTTGGGAGTGATCTTCATCCCAGAAACAGCCTTGGCTAGGATAGCAGCCTTGGCCTGGGCAGCACTCTTTACCTGGGCGGCATTCTTGGCTTGGGCAGCACTCTTGACTTCAGCAGCAGACTTAACCTGAGAAGCAGTCTTGAGCGGAGTAGCAGTCTTGGCCCCAGCAGCAGGTTTAATCGGAGTAGCACTCTTAGCCTTAGCAGCAGCCTTGGCTAGAAGAGCAGCCTTGACTTCAGGAGTGATCTTAACCGGAGGGGTAACCTTGGCCTGGGGAGTAACATTGGCCTTGGTTCCATTCGCGGTGGTATGCTTGGTCTGAGAAGTAGTAGAGTCGACCTGAGTTGCTGTCTTGGCCTGGGGAATGGTCTGAGGAACGGCCTCGGGCTCAGTGACGGGCTCGGCTTCGGTGGGCGTCTTAATCCCGCTGGTATCAGTGAGATCCTCGGAGGACGACTCAATATCCACGCCAGAGGCAGGGACAGTCTCAGGAGTAGTATCAGGGAAAGCTTCCGAGCCAGTTGTCTCGGCGACAGAGACAGGCGGGGATGGGTTGGCTTGTTCGCCCTCACCAAGTGGCTGGGGGACCTGATTCGGGATGCTCATGAGAATGTTGTTCACGGCATCAGGGTTTTTGTGAATGTGGACCGTGTGCTTCAGCTTGTCCTTGACCTTGAAGTCACAGGGAATGAGACGGTAGGGGAGCTCCTGGTCGCGGTGGTACTCGTAGAGCCGGACTTTGTAGCCACGGATGAGGATGGCCCAGCATCGTTCATCTGGAAGAGGGGCGCTGAGCAGTCGGGGAACGAACTGATCCCAGTCTGCCTGGACAGAAACAGAGGTGTCGAGGACGACCTTCACGATGGTGTGCAGGGATCTTTCATCGCCAGAAGCTTTCACGACGAAGCAGTTGGAGTGGTTGTTCTCCTCGTCCTCTTGCCATTTGAGGACCCAGCCATCGTTCGAATCGAAGGCGTAAGTGAGGAGAGCGCTAATCATGATCTTGACATTTTCGGCGGTTGGGTTAGCCTCGTAGGCGTTGATGAATTCAGCAATAGCAGGAAGCGAGAGATAGTTGGTGGTCTCCATGATTCCGAAGTTGAAAAGAGTTGCTGGTGAGAAGAGACTGATGAACTTGAAGAGGAAGGAAGTGGCAGGAAGGAAGTGACAAGGACCGAGGTGGAAATGCTTAAGGTCTTGGGATCGCAAGCAAGATCAGGAAACTGCACGTAACGTGAAAGTGGGAAAGTGTGCGTAGAAGAGTGAATTGAGGCAAACATTTATACTTGTAGGGTTAGTTCTACCTACCCTATAAACGCGTGTTTGATCAAAGAAGGCGAAATATCAAAGCAAACATTTGTCTTCCACTTGTTACTGATCTGTATAAGTTCATGGATTTCTGTATGTACTATTTCAGGTAACATAAAAGTGTGAGCTAAGTGAAAGGTCGCCGTCTACGTCCATAGATATATATCTAGATCTAGTGTTAGTCTGTCGATGACTCTATATTCTGAGCATTCACCAGGACACAAGCAGACTGAAAAGCAAATGAAAGGAAGCCAAGAGTAACCCAGGAGGAAATATATACTGAGTAGACAGGATGATGTCTGCTGGGTCCTTCCTATCTAGGCTGTCGTCGCTTCCATGGGCTCGGACTTCAATGGCTCCAGGGCTTAGTGAGTAAGTTGAATGTCTACTGAGTGCACCCGGGCATGTCTAGTGTGTGCTACAATAAATCTCAATACAACAAATTATTGTCTTCCATGTTCGAAGTTTACTCGTTGACTCGTTTTGTCATCTCACCAGGACAAGCAGAATCGACTGACTACCAGGTTCAAGCTCCCCTCATCTCAAAATAAGTTACATAGGCTTCATTCACATGTCCTCTCTGGGCCTAGTAGACTTCACGTGATCAATACTAGAGAGGAGCAAAGATCATATCTGAGGCCAAAGGCTCAACAGAATCTGCATATCCTCCTCACTGGTCTCTGACTTCGCAGGTACATGAAGTGGTCAAGTTCACCATCAAGCTCTGAGAGACTGATGCTAGCGGGGGATTTCCGACCGAGCAAGTTCTCAAGAACCGGTGATCGCCAAGGCGTGAGATACCATATGCGGATTGGAGACAATTGCAGGATGTCCTGAAAGTAATCACAGAGCTGCATATACTGCACACTCACATATGTACAGCGACATGATCTATACGATCAGGTCCGAAGGCGTCCATCACTGAATGGCGTGCCTAGTACAAATGACACCGTACGTTGTAAGCATGGATGAGATTCCCGTTATGGCTTCCTGCCTGAGAAATCCGCAAGGCTGGATAGTGGCTGACTGGGGAACCGGAAACGAACCGATCGCCTATTATTGCTCGGACTCATAGCCATCAGGGTGAGACTACTGACATTGCCTTGTTCGTATACGAATCAGAGAATGGCAAGCCCGTGCGAAAAAGCAATGTCACGATTGGCAAGAGTCAAGGGCTCAAAATTGGGCTTCCTGACCAAGTAAGTTGATAGGAGAAGCGACCCGCTCTCGGTTTCGGGTGTGTTCTATCGAGTCATGGGCCCCAGGGTAACTGGAAAGCTTAAGGGCCGTTCGTATCGAGCCCTACCCCTGTACCTGGGGTTGAGACCAGCAGTTCGCAAGTGATAAAGTACTGGATTCCTGCCCTATACCTCCAGCGACACTGTGACTGGTCAGCGTGCTGAACCCCGACTTTCTATAGTCGGCTGCATCTGCACAGACACTCCTTATCTATCATTCGCGCTCGAAGCGGTTCTAGGCTCTCCCTTGACAACTTAATGGAGCGCTTTACACAGACGGAATCCGTGCCCACTAAGGATAAAACCAAGCTTCGACGGGGTATCGAGCCAATAGCTCTAATCGCCTCTCCCTGGGAATCCGACGCCAAGTACGGTGAGACGAACAACGGGGTCATCGGGTGCAGTCTACTCGGGTATAGTCAACGCCACCGGCCAAGGAACTGTGAGCCCATGTTCCAATTGCAAATCATGCCCAGTGTCAACACCCCGGACACACGGAGACGACCTGAGTGAGAGTTCCAATAATGCAAGTCTCCTGCACCGATACCCTGCTACCGGGATTTGGGCATCTGCACCCAGCTAGCAATGGAAATGGGAAGGCAGCGGGAGCTTCGGGTGCATTACCCGAGATTTATGCTGGAGAACATTGCGCAATGTAAGTATACTACAGCAGCGACACTCGATATTCGGCTATCGACAAGAAAATATAGTGAATATGCAATCGATCGTGGTGTAACGGTAGCAGTACATATATATTGTGGGAACAGCTGGCGTCCACGGGCGGATGGATCTGCTATGCGCATAATGTGGCTATTATAGGGGAGACGTACAGAATAATACACAAAGCGCACAATAATAGAATCGCCCGTATTGTACTGTATGTTGGATGTCGTATATCGCGCCGATCATTTCGTCTGCGGCCCGCACATAGGCAAGGGGCGCATGTCTCTTCCACACAGACCATTCGATTCTCGTGTGGGGAGTGTTGGGTGTTACCGAGTTGGGGCCAATGCGGCTCAGAAGGGAAAACCCCCGTGTCACTGATTGCGTGGAAGTATTTTGCTTTTTCCCATGAGGCTGCCTGGCAAACGGCTGGATATTCGATTCTCAAGCCATCAGATGCATAAAGACAGAAAGTATAAAAGGCGGATACTTGCTGTCCCTGTCTTCAACGGGATTACAGTATACTAGTCCAATGTCACGATCAACCCGATCTCTCGCAATATAAAGTGAAACAGTACCGTTATATTAACAGCACGGAATATGCGGCCCGGGGCCCATCGGCGAGCATCAAAGAGCGACGGTTATATTTTCCGCATTTGTAGGTGGAGTCGAGCAATAAGAGCGCCCTAAAAAGCAAACACGAACAAAAACAAGAAACAGACGGTGGGGAAGAAGAACGGAAGATCCTAGCTAATCATAGCCATTTCCAATAATTGCTGGTCGTATAGCCCGAAAAAAAGAAACAATGCCATGATAGTTACGGAGTAGAGTGATCAAATTCGCAATGATCAGCTTCTTTCCCGTCCTGTCGACACTGTCGATCCGGGAGCAGGGAACCGATCCCAATGGTAGTTGACTCTTTCTTCTTCTGGATAGATGGAGTCCGAATACGACAATATCTGTAGGAATGCTTCTCTAGCTCCGGGTTGCCACGTCCGCTTATGCACGATGCCGAACAGGAGTTGAATCTGAAGACTCATAATATGTATTTGTAGAAAAAGAAAGAAGAGAAAAAGAAAGAAGCCATCACGAAAATAAAAAACAAGGCTGACCAGGATACCGTCGGGCCTGGTATCCGCGCGTCCGGAAGCAGAAACCGACTTCCGCGAACTTCAAAATAAGCTCAAGATTCGATGGTCGCGTTTACCCTCGTATACGAAGACATTCATGGACCCCTGTTATACATAGATTAGGTTGTAGGGCACGGACAATGGTGGACCAAGCGCGGTGGAGATGGACATATGATTGTACTGACAGGAGGAAGCGAAGAGAAGAAAAGAAAGGGAATAAATAGGCCGTGGGTGCAGCTGATGTACGGAGTAGTTGAGAGTATCCATAGGGAATCCATAACTAGGGAGAGATTCACCTAGACCCATTAGTCAGTGCTTTATTAGCCTCTCTTGGCTTGCAGGAGATGATCTCAGAGGCGTCCAGGATGACCGCTCTTCTTTATCACTCGTCGTGCCCAGGGATCGCCGATCGGTTGATACGATTGGATAGTGATTTATTGATTATTCCATGTCTGCATGTATTATTTCTGATTCTGATAATTGGGTTAGAGAGAACTGGTGTATCAGACGGGAAGTATTTCATAAATGGATTGCTGCAGATGGCTAGACATCGTTAGGGCAGTTAGGGCAAGCTAAGAAGTTATATAAATCATTTAATTAAATAATAAAACAATTTAAAATAGAAATTGAGACGTCCAGAGGTGTGGGCCGATCTCGGATCCCCCGACAGAACCATGGATCGAACAAGGTTATGTGACACTCATCCATGGCTCACAGCCCTAAGTGTCAGTGCGCAGAACGGACTCGACCCATCGACTACACATCGCAAAGGGGCAGACGCAGATGGGCCAATCACAGCCGCCACACCGAAGTGATACGGAGGCTGTCCTATTGCCACACGCTCGCTTCCGCAGCTATTCCTTTTTCCTTGCATTAGCCCCAAGCCGATTCGTGCGTTCAGGAGACGTCGGGGTGGAGATATGCCAATCCTCGGGGTTTGGCGTCGGAAATGGGAGATCATGGAGAGCCCGTATTGCACTTGCTTGGTATATTTATCTCCCCTGGACCCTGCCCCTGATCGAATGGTCCCGGACTTCTTATCCATCGGCAAGCTGCGTTGACTCTTCTATTAATTGACACCGTGGATTGTTGGGCATTCTGTATATCTGTGCACGTTACCTTGAAAAGCGCAGCCTGACCTGGATTCGACTTCAACCCGTACTATCTGATTCTCACTATGGATATGAATCGATATCCAGTTCCTGGGGATGTCTTGGAGAGAAGACACTCTGATACGTGCATCCCACAGCAGCATATGAACATGGTAATAGAACTATTGCAAACCAAGGCACCAAGTCTCAGTGGGCTAATAACCAACAGCCGATCACTCCTAAACAACCCCATACCGAATATACACACCCACACTTCGCCATGATCTACCTCGACCACAACGGTCAATGGCAACTACAAGCCTCGCCCTCAATTGCAGGCTGCGAAGGCGCCATCTTCACCCAAGATGTTACAGACCGATTCATAGAAATGACTGGCCAGACGCCCCAAACCAGTCCGCAGTTCCCAAGTGAGTCAGATTCCATCCAAGTTCCAGCACGACGCTGACTTCCTCTCCTTGCAGACCCGACCCAAGCACCCCACTCCCCTTGGGACGAGCAACCCGCTTCGGGATGGGCCCCGCCTCAGGCGAGACAGGCTGAGATGATCCCGTTCCAATGGTCATCACAGCAAAGCCGAAAAAAGTCGAGGCGTGCCGGCGGTACGCCCAAGTCTCGACCGAAATCTACCTCGCCGCCGCCTGCCGCTCCGGCTCCCGGGCGGACGGTCCTTCGTGTCGGGAACCGGGCGCTGCTGCGACGGTACTATGAGAAGGCATTTGAGGATTTCCAGCAGCTCAACTGCCGGGCTATTGCGAAATCCTATATTAAGCTTGTCGAGCCGAGGAAGCAGGTCCATTACCCGTATAACGGGCGCAGGGTGATTGCCGGTGTCTCGCAGCGTGTTGACCCGGAGTTCACGAAGCCTGCGTGGTGGCCTGCTGGTGTCTTGCACAAGGAGCCTGATCATCTGCTCAAACCTGGTGAGCATATCCTAGTATCACGATATGAACCAGATTAATACTAACCGACCATAGACCGTCTGCGACTTCTGGTTCATATCCTCTGTGAACTAAAGGATAGCCACGGAGTCACAACGGATAAGCTGCGAGAAGCTGGCCAAGACGTCAGACGGCAGATTACACCTGCCCACCGGCTGCAGGTTCTCGACGAGATCTACTTTGTGCGACAAATGGAAGAACAGTATCTGGATGGTGAAATCGGTATGTATCACCCTATTCAGGACCCAATCCACAGTTCACTAACATGTACTATAGATGGCAGTACCTTGATTCAGATAACACAGACACATCTACCCGAAGCAATCTTCCCAGACGATGACCTATTATCCCGGGCACACGCAGCACCCGTAACAGCCCCTTCCATCGAGGCCGAATATAACATGCACGATGCCCGCGACAACCCCGTTATCTCCACGCTGGAAGATGACGACCCAAAGCTACACCACTCGCATAGTCTGCCCCTCTCACCCACCACTAGCGAGTCCAGTGGTCCACACAGCCCAACGGGCAGTTTCGGCTACCCAATAGCCATAGCACCCTCCGTGCATGTAATACCCCCTCTCGAGTCCCCCAATGTCACAAAGTCTATACATCCAGACCCGGGTTATCTGTCCGGGTACTACTCGCAGCCGTTTGTGTCTGATAAAGGGCCTGGGTTCTGGCCACATGCCAATACTGCCTCGCAGTATGGCTATTGATGTTATGTTTCTCTTGTTTTCCAGTACATAACTGGAGTTTGAGCGTTTGGCTGGACACGGATATTGGGTTTCCTTGGTTACTTTTCCATATATATATTTTCTTAGGATGGTTTGTTAATTAGCTTCCATATACGAGAAGTCAGGGAGAATGCAAATTAATGGACAACCTGATCTCTCGTAGAGTCGACCTTAACTATGAATTATCGCTGCCTCAGGAGTCAGGCGACACCTGGGCCAAGACGGCTCGCTGATTGGGTCCGCGTGACGATCCCCTAGCGCAGCTCCTCCATCCAACCACCACTCACATCGCCAGCACACGTCAATTTCTCACCTTCTCGCTGGCTCTTGACTGTGTGTTTTCCAACCTTTTGGCCTGCACCAAAGCATCAGAAGCCCTATCTCGCCGTTTCCGTGCCATGCGCCAGTGAGCCCGCAGTTGTTTACTTCTTGGGTCGCCAACCACAGTCCGCCATCCGCGCCCTCCGACTCCAACACACGCGTGATCTACCGATAAGGTAACTTTGCCGTCTTTGAATGATTACCCCTCATGTCTATATAATGGCCGTGTCGTTCGGCACTTGTGCCTGTTTGGCATATCTACAAAGTGCTTTTGAAGCTTGCAACTATGGGGATGCTAACTTTCAATCGTTTCCTCAGTCGACCGTATCCCAACACCCGGGACGGACCGACCATACTCTGCTTCCAGCAACAGTTTTTGATGGAAAGCACCGGCTCGAGAAGAAAATCCGATACCATGTCGGCCGAGCCTCCGGTCTCCACGCCAGTCGTGGAGGATGTGTCTTCAGATGACTCCGACAACGATGAATCCGACACTCCTGCCATAACCCCAGGAACCCTGTCGCGCAACGGCTCCTTCTCAAATAGCAGCTCGTACCTGGAAGACTGGGAGTCATTTCCACCGCTGGACAAGCTGACTATTTTCGACCTTCTCGACAACATCCACCTCTCACAGCGTCTGGAGACTTGGCAGCAGACCCTCGCCGCGCAAAAGGAGAAGGTGCGCAAGCAGCGGGAGAAGCTGAGGTTGTCGTCCTTGAATGCCAAGGACCGTGTTATGGGTGAATGGAAGCGCCATGCACCGACCGCCGAGGAGAAGCTGGAGAAATATCGTGCTCGGATGAAGCATGGCGTTGAGCGTCTCGGCAAGCGCTGGAGCCAGACGGCGACTGTCACTCTCCGCGAGAAGATGTCTTTTATTGCTGGTGTGCTCAATATCTTCATCAGCGGCTACCTGATCGGTGCTTGCCCGGAGTACTTTTACTACTGGTTCAGCGGCCAGCTGGCTTTTTTCATGCCCATCCGCTACTTTACATACCATGCCAAGGGCTATCACTATTTCTTGGCCGATCTCTGCTATTTTGTCAATTTGCTCTGCATGCTGAGTATTTGGGTCTTCCCGAACTCGAAACGGCTTTTCATTAGCACCTTCTGCTTGACTTTCGGAAACAATGCGGTTGCAATCGCCATGTGGCGGAACTCGATGGTGTTCCACAGTATGGACAAGGTCGTCAGGTACGTTACACATCGAAAGGAACAAGTTCGTTGCTCATCTTATCTAGTCTCTTCATTCATATTATGCCACCCGTGACTCTGCACTGCATCGTACACCTGACTCCGGTGGCGATACTCAAGGAACGCTTCCCTGCTGTCTACGACATCAAGTTCAGTAAGCCCGGGGACCCAGAGCATTATGGTCTTGGTGCCATGATCCTCTGGTCCACGGCCCCCTATGTGGTGTGGCAGCTCATGTACCACTTCCTGATTACCGTGCGCCGCCGCGACCAAATCGCAGCGGGTCGTCCGACTAGCTTCACCTGGCTGCGCAAGTCCTACTCTAAAGCGTGGATTGGGCGGTTTGTGCTGAGTCTACCTGAAACGCTGCAAGAGCCATGCTTTATGGTGATCCAGTACGCATACGCTTTATCCACTATGCTCCCCTGTCCGATCTGGTTTTGGTACAAATGGGCCAGCGGTCTGTTCATGTCTGCGCTGTTCGTCTGGAGCATCCACAATGGAGCGACTTACTACATCGACGTCTTTGGAAGACGCTTCCAAAAGGAGCTGGAGCAGCTTAGGACAGATATGGCTCGTTGGCAAAACTCTCCCGAGGGATCGACCAGTCCTATCCTTATCCCTGAGCCCAGCCCTCTCAGTGAAGCCATCAATGCACACAGCGAGGAGAAGCGATCCAGCGTTGATCGAATCCCTTTGTTGGATACTGCCGATGTCTCCTCTACTGATATACTAGAGAAAGACAACAAGGATTCTGTTGTTCGAGAGCGAGTTTGAGCTTTACGGACATACCATGTTGACATCGTTATGCTAGTCTTTATATACCCTTTGTTGGTTCTTTTGTCAAGATTCATGAACCTGAATTGAGCGAGTCGGTTTATAGATGTACACGTTATTTAGATTGATATGAATGTTATGAAAATACTCCTCCGTCGGTCCGTTCTCGAACTGTCCGGGATCTCTTTAACCCCGAGCAAAACCCGAGGCGGTCTCGGCCGTCACGTGCCAGATGACTGCGGCAGTACATCACAACATCTCGTCGGATCCGGTTCCAGGACATTCCAAACTTGTGACCGACATTTTATTGCTGAGATTTTTTTTGGATCATCCTTTGGACATTAAGATTAATCATTAATTTCATTATTGTTGCCCTATAAACCCCCTGTTCGCTCGTTGCTTCGTGCACCAACTTTTTCACCGTTTCCCGCAAATGTCCGCTACAATGAGATCAACCGGATTAGTCCGCGGAACACCTGCTTTCCGGTCTGCACTAATCGGTAAGTGTCGAGTCCAGAAATAAATGGCAATGCCAGTTGCTGATACTTCCCAGCAGGCCGTAGTCGTTCCAGTGCATTGAGCCCGGCCTCCATTGCAGCCCGCAGCCTTCTACGAAATGGCCGCGATCTGCCATCCCAGATCTCGGCCCTGGCCATCCTGATCCCGCAGCGTGGATATGCGACCGAGCCAACCCCGTCCACCAACTCTTCTCAGAACTACCCTCCCCCCGGGTTCAATGCCGAGCAGGCCAAGAAGCCGCTCGCCCAGGAACAGACCACGCAGTCACAATCGACGGTTGCGAAGACTCCCGAGACACAGGCTGCTGCTAAGCCGGCAGCCGCTGGAGGGGTTGCGAAGGCGAGCGCGGAGGAGCAGAAGTTGGCTGAGAAAAAGAGTGCGAAGAAGTTGACTCTTGGACAGAAGATCAAGAAGGAGTTGCAGCATTACTGGGATGGTACGAAGTTGCTTTCCACTGAGGTCAAGATTAGTTCGAGACTGGCACTGAAGATGGCCGGTGGTTATGAGCTGAGTCGTCGAGAGCACCGCCAGGTATGCGCCAATACAATATTTCGATTTGACGTTTGGCTAACTGAGTTTGATTAGCTCCAACGTACTACAAAGGATCTGGGACGTTTGGTTCCGTTTTCGATGTTCCTCATCGTACCATTTGCCGAACTCCTCCTCCCCGTCGCCTTGAAGCTCTTCCCCAACATGCTCCCCAGCACATACGAGGGGCAGAAGGCCCGTGATGCCAAGGCATTGAACCTCAGATCGACCCGCAAAGAAGTTTCGGCATTCCTACGCAACACCATTGGCGAGACTGGTCTGCCTTTGACCGCAGCCACTGTCAAGAACCACGAATTCACAGACTTCTTCCGCAAGATTCGCACCACCGGCGAATCGCCCTCGACCGAGGATGTCATCAAGGTGTGCAAGATCTTCAAGGACGATCTGACCCTTGACAACTTGTCCCGACCCCAGCTGGTCGGCATTTGCCGTTACATGAACCTGAACTCCTTTGGTACCGACGCCATGCTCCGGTACACCATTCGCCACCGCATGCGCCAGATCAAGCGTGACGACCGCGCGATCTTCTACGAGGGCGTTGATTCCCTCTCCGTCCCCGAACTGCAGATGGCCGGCGCCTCGCGCGGTATCCGCACACACGGCGTCTCCCCCGCGCGCCTGCGCGAGGATCTCACCATGTGGCTCGAGCTGCGTCTCAAGCAGGGTGTCCCCTCGACTCTGCTGGTCTTGAGTAACGCCTACCTATACACACAGGGCAAGGAGACCGAGTTCTCGTCGCAAGTCGACGCGCTCAAGTCCGTGCTCTCCAGTATTCCCGAGGAGTTGTTCCATGAGATTGAGCTCGAGGTGCACAATGCCGAGGGCGCTGCTACCAACAAGCAGCGTCTGGAGGTTATCAAGGAGCAGGAGGAGCTGATCTCGGAGGAGAACGAGCAGAACAGCAAGAACGAGGTCAAGGGCGTTTCCGTGCCTAAGGATACCGAGGATATCGACGAGAAGGAGGAGACTAAGGTCCAGCCTCCGGTCGATGGTGATAATCAGTCTGCTGAGGCCAAGGATGCTTTAGCGGAGGGTGAGCGCGCCGAGAAGACCCCCGAGGCCAAGGATGCGAAGAAGAGCGAAAGCGTGTAGTTATATTGTTTGATTTATCCTTGGATTGTACTTGTCATATAGATTTCCTTTACTTTGGCGCTCATTTGGTTTTCTTCCCTTCGGTTCTCTCCTGTGTTATTTATTTCGTGTTGATAGACCATTTGATCCCCGCCTCTCCCTTATTATGTTCCTGTATACTCCATTGACTCCCATATCTCGACTAATACAACTACATCAGTGGATAAATCAACCGTAACACTTGAAGTATTCTCCGGATTTATATCATTAGTCACCGACATTCCAAATTACCTCGGCTACAAACCCCTTCTTCCCCAGTAACTATAGAACTTGGCCACGGAGTACTCCGTCCATATCTCGGTCCAACAAACCCATTTGAAATGCTCTCACGACCACAGCGCAACCTTCTCCAGAGACTTCGTTTCAGCTGCGCTTACCAAAACTCAATCCAAAACCAACCCAAATCATCCCTCCACTCCAACCCCAACCCCAACCCCGAACCCCGAACATCCAAAATAATGTCGCCCCTAAATCCCACCTCGCAGGTATGTGTAACTTGTTCTTTGCAGCTACCCGAAAGGACCGCGTGTCCTGCGGGATTCCGAATCTGAATCTGCTGTGTCTATTTTGCCATGCGTACCTACTATCCCTGCGGGCGTTCCCCCTGCTTCTTTTCCCCCTTAGCCACGGGGGGTGTGTCTTAAATTGCCATGTTTCTTTTCTTTTTTTCCCGCGACGATCATACCTGGATGTGTTATTATCCAGGGAGCGGTTCGGTCTCGGGGCTATGGGCGTTTGAGTTTCGGCTTCCAGTCTTACGTGCGTTGGATGGAACCCTTTTTGAATTAGGCAGGAGATGAGATGATGTGGAATATTCTTTTCTTTGATTCTCTGAGACAAGGTTCTTCACGGTCCAGCCGAGACTTCGTCGTTCGATTTCTTTTCCCCGTGGATGGACATCCCGATGTTAAACACAACCACAGTATAGAAGAAAAAGAAAGAAGGCTGATATTTACTTACACATGTATCAGGAGGCAATCGCCAGACTTCGAAACTACATCCCCCCGCCAACCACGTACTACTCGGTCCCGGTAAGCAGACGGGCGGCAGTGCTGCTACTGCTCTTCGCCGACGCCAAGGGCGATCTTAGGGTGGTCGTTACGATCCGGGCTAAGACACTAAGTTCGTGTGAGTGACCAGAACTTAGAAAATACGTGGATCAGCCCTGTTCCCAGGCTGCATGACATGGGTTGGTTGTTCGGGACTAGGCTAATGATATTCGGGTCTACGGAGTAGACGCGGGAGATGCTGCATTGCCAGGTGGTAAGTTTGACAGCTCCAGACTCAGCAAGGCAAAAGAGAAACAGGAATAAAAAAAAAAGAATAAATTCCTCGCTTAAACTAAACTAACCCCTTCTTCGCCGGAGTAGGCCGAGCAGAAAATACAGAATCCGCCTTCCAAACGGCGCGGCGCGAGGCATGTGAGGAGATCGGCCTCCCCGACATTCAGGAAAGGGAAAAGCTTCCACCCCCGTTCAGCGTGGAGCATCTCTGCGAGTTCCCGGCAAATCTTGCCCGAACAGAGGTGGTGGTTCGTCCCTGCGTTGCGCTCCTCCACAGTTATGATGCGGGCTTGGGGCTGAATTCTAATCCCGAGGTGTCACTTATTCCTATTCTGGACACGAGAGAGGTTGAGGCTGTTTTTACGGCGCCGTTCCAGGATTTCCTGCGCGGACATGGACAGAATGGGGAGGACTGGTATCGTGGGTCGTGGGGGATGTGGCATAATTCGCAATGGAGAAGTAAGTTCCCCTATGTTGATGTATGTGTTGTGTCTGTGTTGTGTCTGTGGGATTGCCAAGTGGAGGACGTCCCAAATAGGAAATAGCCTGGAGACTAACTACGCCACTAGTGCATCAGTTCTTTGTTCCCAGAGCAGACCAAGTCTACCGTATCTTTGGCATGACTGCACGAATTATCGTCGATGCAGCCCGGGTCGCATACGCGCAGGAACCGGAATTCGAACATAACAGTCATTTTGGCGACGAGGCCATGATCGCCGACTTGCGCCAGTTGGGCCGGTTAGGTGAAAAGGCCAAAGTTTAGGAGAAGGACTGTGCAGATAGACATGCCAATAAGAAGTATATAAATAAGACGGCCAATCAGACGAGGGCGTAAGCGGATCAAGGGCGATCAAGTCCTTGCGTCAGTTCGTTTGACGATGTCTGTTTGTTAATAAGATTAGGTGTTAAGGGTCTGTTAGTTATAAGCCCTGATCTCTCCTTACATCGGATATCATTCATAACTTCACTCCTCTTTCTTTGTTGAACCTTCGACTTATTTCCATTTCTTTGATGCTTATTTGATTGTTCGACATTCGACATTCGACATTTCCAAATGCCAACCTTGTACACCCGAATGGCTCCCCCCGTTCGACCATCTCGCTCACTCGAAGGACTCGAGCGAGTAATCCCACCACTGTCACCCCAACCTCCCTTCTCAAATCGCTCCGATCTCTTCCTCAACAAACCCCTCCCCGCAAAACCCCTGGACCCAGAATGTTCGGCGATGTGGAGTGACTCCGACAGCGACACCGAAAGTACCCTCGACAGCATCACCAGCGAACCCCGCCACTCCGCAGACAGCTATCCCATCGGCATCTTCGTCAGTTCCGGCTCCGACTTTGACGACTTGGGCGATCACCCGCCTCCAGCCGATCAGCTCCTGAGACTATCCCCACAGCCTCCACATAAACGCACGGACTCGATCGATATCAATATCCCCGAGCCGTCAGTCTCAGTATCGTCTTCGTTTTCGTCCCAGTACGGACGGCCCTCGAATTGGAGCCAGAACCGCACGGGCACGAATCACTACTTCCGCGAGAAAAAGTGGGATTATTTCCCGGAACTGGCGCCCTCCGCTGTCCAAGCGAGTGGCCGCATCAGCCCAAACATGAACAATAAATGCCGCAAAATCGGCAACCCGCTGGAATTCGCCAAGGGAAAGTACCGCTGGCACTCGCTCGACCGCGGCGGTCTCGTCGGCGTCCGCGACTCGATCAAGACGTACGTGCACCGCACTCTCTCGCGCGACTCGACAGAGAATAAACCAAAAGATATTACCCGTCCGGCGACGGCGCCTATGGACCACCATCTTAATGATGTAGGCGGTGCGCTCGGCAACACACCGCAGCAATCTACTTTAGCTTTGGTTCTGGACACGCAGGCCGCGCTGCGAGCCCCGTCCGTGGCGACGTCCAGCAGCAGCGACTATGACTATACCAACCACAGATTCCATCTTCAGACACCGACCTCGCCTACTTCGCTTTCATCCCCGACAACACCCCGCCAGAAACAGCTCGCCGTGCCACTATCCGCGTACCAGAAACACGGGCCCGTGATCTGGGAATCGCCTAAGAAGACCAAGAAGCGCAATGTTCAGTTCCCGAGATACAAGTCCCCGCCTGGATCGGTGGCAGAGCCTTCTTCGTCTTCGGCTCCGGATTTGTCTTATTCTAATGCCACGCTGGCTTCGCGGAAGTCGCAGAACAATACCCGGGGCGTGTTCCTGAAACGAATCGGGGAGTCCAAGGATGATCGCAGGAGGGAGCAGTTGAAGGCGCAGATCAAGTTGGTTGGGCCTGTTAATCCGCATACTTATGTGCAGGCTGATCCATGGGTTTGATTGTGTTTCTTGTTTTGTTTTGTTTTTGTTCTTCAGCACTACTCTCATGACTTCTCACGACATCTATACCTATCTATACCCTCTTCACTTATATTTTTGTTCTTGTTGGATTCCCTGCTTATTCTGTCTTGTTCTGTGGCTTTGTTTGTACCTTTGTTATTATTAGCTTTTCTAGGTGTTTCCAAACAAGTACTTCTGGCTTAACTTGGTGTAAGCCAGTGGCTCTTGAAAATCAGATTCAATCATACCATTCTACCTCATCTTAGATACTCAACTGCATCGAAAGTCAATAATCAATTAAACTTCTCTGCACAACACCTAACCACTTCTACAGACGCTAGTTTCTTACATGCACATCCATACCGCACAGGTGCATACGGCCAACAAACCAACGTAGATCGCCACTGTCAGGCAATTCCAGTCATATTTGAGATACACCCACCTTGACACCACTCTACTCCGCACTTAGTCAAAGCCACGTCTGCCACTATCCTGTATTTATATATTCCAATTGGTTTATATCTGCAATGTAATCAAGAAATTAAATTAAATGAGGGGTAAACCAGGGCCTGAACTCTCTTCGCACCAACTCATGAAATATTTCCCGAGTGTAACGAAACCTCGTGTTGGCAAGCAGTTCTCCGCACAACTAGCGGTGGGTGTGTATGTTGTAGATGAGCTGTTCGTTGGGGAACAGCCCTATCATTATTATTGTGCGGAATGTGGAATGTCCACTATATCGGGTGTCATCACCGACTTTTAGATTTGTAAGTTGCTCGGCCTAATTACTCCAAGGGGAGTTGGGCCGGTCTATTGTAGAAACTAGTTAACTAATGAGAATAAGATTGAATAATATCCATGCTGTAAGAGATGAGATACGTTGATCAACCCCACTTTGCATTTGGGCTAAGCGTTGGGCTGGGTATGTACTTCGCTACATGAAGAAACGAAGGATATGTGCGTATCCGAGCTGTCGTCGGCTCGGTGATGGGTCGGAATTCTACGAAGATCTAGATGTCGGATCAGATGTGTTGACTTTGTGTTGATCTTGGCTTGGACAGGTCGACCTAAAGTTCTATGTTCCAAGGTTAATATTGTGGCTTACTGTGGGTATCCTTAGAATAATAAGATCGCACATATCTCAATCCTAGAAGCGACCTGTATCTATCATGACGAGGTCGCTCGTCCCGATCTGTATTTTGGCCTCTGTGGCGGTATGCTGGTAGAAAGGGTCGCTAGCAGAGTCTAGAGCTATGAACATTCCATGGTGACGATTTGTATAGTTTAGGGCTTTGTGGATGGTCGCTATGTAGGATTAACAGTCAGCTTCTATACTTCACAATATAGAACTTGGATAACCTGAATATCAAGTTGGTTAACACTATTCTAAATGTCAATATTTGGATAGGAACGATAATCATGAAAGTAATTCAATGTGCCATCTCTTGTATCCATATTCTAGTCCGGAGTTAGACAAACTATACCACAGCGACTCACTCATCTAATATACAAAGGGTTTTACACTAATTACAATCAACCGATGACTGTACATAGACTCAAGATCTCCACTTGAGGCAATAATGAGATCCCTCTAAGCGGAGTCGCCGCTGACCTAAAGTGCGGCCCCGTCTTCTAGTATACGCGGACCTAATATATAGCGACCTAATATACAGCGACCTAGTATACGCGGACTAAGTTCACGGCGACTAACTTGGGTATATAAGTTGGAGACTTCCCCACGTCAGACGATCTTTCTTACCAACCTGCATCACTGCAGTCATCCCTGACTGCAGTTAATGTCGGATATGGCGATATGTCCTGACCATGGAAAGGACCTGTGAAAAGGTCTATTCATGTGGAATCTCTGGCATTGCCTGGACTTGGGCTTGTTCTTTTTGATGTGCCTTTCCCGGTAAGTGAACTATGCTTTGTTCTCTCTTGTTGTGTCAGTCGCTAATAGGTATATGGGTAGGCAGAACTTTTTGGATGCTCGTCTAAAGGGTGATGTCGACGAGCAATTTGCAACCGATGGGGCAGATGATGAGTGTGCTGATCCTCGGGAATGATCTGTAAAGGTCTGCCTATGGGGAATCTTAGGCATTGCCTGAACTTGGCCTTGCTCTCTTTCATGTGCTTTCCCGGTAAGCACTATGCTTTTTCTCTCTTGTTGTGTCAGTCGCTAATAGGTATACGGGTAGGTCACCTTTGAGATTTTTTGGATGCTCATCCAAAGGGTGATATCGACGAGCAGTTCGCAACGATGGGGCAGATGATGAGTGTCCTGACCCTCGGAAATGACCTGTAAAGGTCTACTCATGAGGAATCTCTGGCATGGTGCCCTGGATTTTGCGTGTTTTGTTTTTAATGTGCCTTGCCTGGTACGTGAACTATACTTTCTCTCTTGCTGTGTCTGTCGCTAATAGGTATACGGGCAGGTCCTTTCTAAGAGCCATTCAATACTCTCCCAAAGGGTGATATCACCCAGAGCACTTTGCCATGACGGGGCGGCGAAGAGCCGGGACGAAGAGCCTGTGCTGGAACAATTGCAGGCACCGGCTTAATGATTGAGCGACTGTCTAAAGCTCATCAAATCCGTACACTCGGATGCAATGAGAACCTCGAGCAGACTGGTTTGATGCCGTCGAAAAGATAGATCATCTATCGACATGGAAAAAGAAGGATGAGACTTCTTGGTCAGTGGTGGAACATGTGGGTCGATGAGCGTGAGTAACTCGAGATACACTTGTCAGGTCGTGGAAAGATCCCTATACTAACCAAGAGTCTAGTCCGCAATGCGAGCTTCTCGTGTATTTCGTTGCAAGGGACGCTCAAGAAGGTCCCGGTCGATTGTGTTGGAGTTTATCAAGCTGCCGCAAGGCCTCCGCTTGCTCTTCTGCCCTAAAGAAGATTTCTTGTTTTGGATTGGAAATGTCTCCAAGGCCAAAGGCAAAGGCAAGATGGGGGGAGAACGGAGGGCGTTGATATGGTCGGGGTTGAGGTAGTTGAATCGGCCGATGCGGCCGTGGCTGCCGACGTCTTCCATTGCCTCGACCCCGGCACTTGCAACTCAAGAGAAGGATCTTTTGGAAATGGAATTTTGAGCTATGTTTCTTGTTTCAATCACCGACTGAGAACTGGCCCATGTCGGTGGCCTGCTTCCTTTTCCTCGCGCGGGCCATGAGCCTGCTGCTCTTGTACCTGAAACATGGTATGAGGTGCTGAATTCCTGGGGAAGTGTTGATAGAGGGAGGTGTGTCTCCCATCTCATAATCTCAATACGGCGAGTTCCCACGGGGAGGCATCACTTCGGAAAAATCACAAGTTCCTTGATATCAAAGCAACCAAAGCAATCAAAGCAATCAAAGCAATCAAAGCACATTGAAAGCCGTCCTAAGACAACAATTGGAACGTAAAGTATATACCAAATTCCGCTCTTCAAGCCTAGGTTTAACGTCTTTGCTCATTTCTTCTTTCTATCTGATATCCCAGGAAGAGAGAGAGCCGTGTCAGCTGTACTTGAGAGACTGGAGTAAGATGTCAGTTTGGCGGAAATCGAGCAGCATCAATTCCGATAGCTAGGAGAGATAGATTACGGGCACAGCGCAAGAATTCGACTAAGATGCCTTGAGAATAAAGAAGTAGATGTTGTACTCCGTGTTGTATAGTTGACGATCGAATGCCAAGGAAACATCAGAGCCCCGCCATTCACCGAAGATTCACCTTCGGGGTATGGACTCTTGTCATGACTCATTGCTCCGATCTGCTTCAAGTCTGACTTCTTTCGTTACCTTCGTGCGCTTCGTTTACTGCACTCTAGACTCCTACTCCTCTCGGCACCATGGCGCAAGAATCCTCGCAAGTCGCGCCCCGCTACCTGACCGGCGATAAGGCCGGCCTCCAGGAATTCCTAGCCAGATTCGATGTGAGCACACGTTTTTGATATACCGATGTACTAGAGAGTCCTGTTACTAACCAGATTCTGTACAGGTATTCCTCTTTGACTGTGATGGTCTGTCCCCTCTGTATCGGCCGAAGCTCCCCGCAGCGACTCAACGCGTCGCAACAACCGCTGAGACAATGATATTTAGGCGTATTATGGTCCGGCGACCACCTCTTCCCCGGAACAGTAGAGACACTGGAGCTTCTCCGAAAGAATGGTGCGCATTAAATACCAAGTGCGCAAACAGAGGTTGATAATCCCCAGGAAAGCAAATCGTTTTCGTGACGAATAACAGCACCAAGTCGCGCGCAGACTACCGCAAGAAACTCGAAGGCTTAGGGATCCCCAGTACAGTGGTGAGTGATACCACCGATTAATCACCTCACCCAGTGGCAGCGACTCACAACCAAATAGGAAGAGATCTTCTCCTCCTCATACAGCGCCTCTATATACATTTCGCGCATCCTCCAACTCCCCGAAAACAAGCGCAAAGTCTACGTAATCGGCGAAACAGGCATCGAGCAAGAGCTCCGCTCCGAGAACGTCCCATTCATCGGTGGCACAGACCCTGCCTACCGCCGCGACGTCACATCAGAGGACTACAACAAGATCGCGGCGGGCGATGAGTCCGTCCTAGACCCGGAGGTTGGTGTCGTGCTCGTCGGTCTCGACTTCCATGTGAACTACCTCAAGATCGCGCTGGCATACCACTACATCAAGCGCGGAGCGATCTTCCTCGCCACGAACGTCGACTCCACCCTTCCGCACTCGGGGTCTTTTTTCCCTGGCGCTGGCTCCATGAGCGCGCCGCTGATAATGATGCTGAATCAGGAACCTGTCGCTCTCGGCAAACCCAGTCAGGCTATGATGGATTCTATCGAGGGTAAGTTCAAGTTTGATCGTAGCCGGACTTGCATGGTTGGTGACCGTGTGAATACCGATATTCGCTTTGGACTTGAGGGCAAACTTGGCGGTACGCTGGGTGTCTTGACTGGTGTCGGTTCTAAGGAGGAGTTCGTTTCTGGGGATGTCAGGCCTCATGCTTACTTGGATACGCTTTCTGATCTACTAGCCTCGGAGGAGGCCTGAAAGATTTGTATTAAATGTAACAAATGTTGTATTTAGAGATAGACATACGGACACAATGATTCATCCATGGAATAGCTATAGCCAAGGCTATCCTATCAAGGTTCGCTTCTTCTAGAAGTCACTTACCAACAAGAGTGCAGTAAATATAAAGCTAATCAGCAAGTGTCACAGCGTAACTACAGAAATACCCTTGGTTCTTCCCATGACACACTTCACAGGCACGCCAGGACGACATTTCGGCGCATTCGGCTCTTCCATGACAGGACGCCTTTCATAAGGGTATGTGTACCGCAAGTAATACCAACCAAATCCCCTCGTAGATCGGAAATATCAATTTACCCTCGGCAATATCCTCCCCACTCGATGATGTCCAGTTCCACAGCCCCGGGGCCGATGGACCTCGGGAGTTATATCCAGGCATTGGAAGCCCTAATTAGTTCACTAAGAGCTTTCCAAAGTTGATATACCAGCTTGATCAACAGAATAGGAGGCTCTCTCAAATCCCAAGATCATGCAATTGGGCCAAGGTTTATTCTACGACTCAATAAAGTCCAGGCCTCTGTTCATGCGCCTTTCAGGGCTTAATTGTTGCTTCCATCTCGCATCCTATACCTCCAGCCTTCGGTGACCGAGAAAATAACCCTATAGAATGATCTACTGCATAGAGATGTCACCATCTCTATCGGGAAGGGCGCTAGCTAGAGCAGTAACAAGGATTCCCTGTATCGGTAGGTTAGTTGTGGTGCAAGAGATTCTCCTAGGATCAATACTGACGATGTCGATCTGTTCAATAAGACTCATCGGGTCAATAGTGCGGTCCTTAAGATTAGTGTCAGTAATGGGTCAAAAGAATCCAGCTGGGGGGTCTTGTACGCGGCAGAGTGTCTCGACGGCGGATTTCCAAAGGGCGAATAGTGGACAACGCCGCTGGAGGTGTCTGGGGTCTTGGCAGAGGTAACAAGCCGGGGTGATGGTGATGCTGCTCTGTGACATGCCCTTTCTTTGTCAGTCATTGGTCCAAGAGGGTTTGTTCTCAGACTGGTTATAGATATGAGGGTGGCATAGTTAGTGGAGTGCGGCTTACCTGGTGCTGGTGTTGGCTTTGGTATTGGTACTGTTGTTGTCTATCGTCATAACCAGCTCCTTGGGTAGCTCTACTAGCACGATTGGGGTCACGACTAGCTCCCTGGCGTTGTCTGATAGGGCGTGTAGAGTCCATATCAAGATGAGCGAATCAGTCTTGAATTTGCAGAATATGTTGAGGAGCAAGACTTGGGAATTTCAGATTCTTGTCTAGAGATGAGAGTTGGTAGGAAATACGAATGGGAACGGTAAGCTCCTTCATGGCTGGTTAAGCAGAGTAAGAGGGAGTTAAGCTCCTCTCCCCTAACCTCCTCCTATGCTTCTCCTACCTCCTTTTTGTTTGACGCCTGTATTTGGATCTTGCTTTATTGCTGCTGAAATGAAAGAAAGGTCAGGCATACAAGGACATAATCATCGTTTGATTTGAGGAATTTACTTCACGCCATTTCCAAGTCTATATTGTTATTTATTGGCGCCAGCTCACCGATGTCCTAAGTCTTCAGTCAAATCATCGAATCAGAAGCGTGCCTGTCGGCTATTCAACCAGCAAAGCTCTAGACGCAGTCATGTATAAAATCTATGCGTGTGCATAAATTACTCGTCAAGTAGTTCCGACTCACTCGGTACTTAGTAGTTCACAGAAAAGCACCGTGAAAGGGTATCATGATCATTCCATTCGAACAAGATCTGAGTGCTAAAAAACCGAATATAACGCCTCAAACATGTAGGCGTCCTTGTCCTGAACGCCTTTTTTCCAATCAAATATTCGGAGTCTCACTGCTGACCATAAGGGTCAAGAGTCGAACCGAGGGTTGGTGAAAACGCCTCTAGTTTCCACGCAGAACTCCAGCAATGCGTAATGCCAGGTCCAACATGGATAGATGCTCATCGGATCCATCAACCAGCCGCTTGTCGACCTCCGAGAAGAGCATGACAATCTTGTTTTTCTGAATATCGGGGATTGCCTCGTTGAACACTACACGCCGGTATAGCTAGAAAGGTCAGCAAACGTATTGAACACTCCGGGAAGAAGACAAACCTGTCCAACCAGCTGCGTAGCACTCCAGCCATCAGCCACAATATCCGTAATCACCCCCGAGACAGCCTCGTAGGCCGACGCACCACTCTTAGGCTGCATAGCCTCGATAAGAGAATCCAAAACATCATCCGGCAGCACACCGGCGATTTCTTCAATGCTGTTAACCGTAATAACACTAGAATTACTATCCACATCCGTCATCTCCGCATCATCATCAGCATCCTTCACGGCAGGCGGCTTCGTAGCACCGACCAAGCGCGCCGCGCTCTGCAGATACGTGATAGCACGACGCAAATCACCCTCGCCACACCGGATAAGCGTATCGACAACCCCATCCTCAAGCTGCAGGCCCTCCTGCTGTGCAATATTCGAGATCCGCTCACCAGCAGCGCTATTATCCAGCATCTTGAACCGGAACTTGCTGCAGCGACTAGCGAGCGGCTCGATGATGCGCGTGACATAGTTGCAGACAAGACAGAAACGTGTGATCCGACTGTATGTCTCCATCGTGCGGCGCAGAGCGGACTGTGCGTCTTGCGTCATGCTGTCTGCCTCGTCGAGGATGATGATCTTGAATGGTGGACATGGGTACTGTGCGCGGTAGGCGGCGTCCAGGCCTGTTGGTTGGGAGAGCTGGGCTCGCGCGAAATTCTTCACTTTGTCGCGGACGATGCCGATACCGCGCTCGTCGGAGGCGTTGAGTTCGAGGATTCGGGAGCGGTAAAGGGCGGGCCCGAAGAGGGATTTGGCGAGGGCGAGGATTGTGGATGTTTTTCCTGTGCCGGGGGGTCCGTAGAAGAGCATATGGGGGAGCTGGTTGGGGTTATTTCATTGCTTCAATTGTTCGGGGCGGGTGGTTTACGTTTGAAGCTTGCAGAGTGCGCCGCAAGACTTTGGTCGTGTGGTCTTGCGCAGCAACATCATCCAGGGTCTTGGGGCGACTAATTGATATTAGCCAATTCTGGGTAAGCTGGAATAGAGCATTGACTTACTATTTCTCAACCCACGGCTGGAGTTTAGTTGAGTCTTCCTTGTTGTCGCCAGCCTTGAGCTTAGAGCTGCTGGATGCTGCGGCGGCAGCGGCACGAGCCTTATTATTGAAAAAAGAGGCAGCCATTGTTGTTGAATAGCCGAAATCAGCAAGTCAGGTTATCTCGAGAGCTGCTCTGCGATGTGTTGAAGTCTTTCTGACGCCCTCCACAATCAAGACGCGTCTCCACGTGACACGCGCAGCACTTAAACACTGGCCAATGAGAGCAGCTCCCTATTTGGGTATACTTCAACCCATCGCCGCTGTTAATGCTGGTCTTATAGACTACCGGGATCAACATTGCAAGGGTTATGATTGCATGGTATCTCATTAATGCTGGTATCAATATTTACAGCTCGTCTCGCACCGGCTCCTCCATCCCAGCCTCGAACATCCTCTTTTTTGTATTCCGGGGAAGCTTTGCTTGTCTTGCCCTCTCCTCCGGGGTGACGTCGTCAATGTCTACGCTTTTTTGTCTCTCTTGCTCGGCCATGTCACCAATTTTATCAATTACACGATTGCTGTCGATGGGTGCGGACGGCTCTTGCTCCCAGGCAGTGCTACTGGCTGTCACCGTTCCTGTTGCAGCCGCCGTGGCCATTTGATGAATAGCTGTAGAGATGTCCCTTGAGATAGATTGAGAAGCAGACTGCACAGCTGTAGTGGAAAGCCCGGCTGCACCTGTTGCAAACGCAACACGAGCGAAGAGCTTCAAAGGCTGCCATACGAGCCACCAAAGAGGCCCATAAAAGACACGTCGGAATAGGAGCCAGCCAATTGTCGCAAGAAGGATATAGAAAGCAGTCTCAAGGTACCATGTGTCGGACTTTTGGGAGCGGAGGAGAGAGTTGGCTAGACTGCGAGTTGAAGAGAGAAGTGTATCAAGGCTGCTATAGGACTCGGACAGGGATGATATCGCGGCTGTAGATTGTTCTGATTAAGAATATTAGCTCTGGTAGGATCAGGAAAGGGATACATGTACTCACCAAGAGTTGATTGGGCAAAATGGCTGCGGGAGAGTTCTGCCTGCATGAGTTGATGGGTTCTGCGTAGCGCAGATGTCACGTCGTTCGAGGCGTTCAAAACAAGATCATCCTGGGTGAACTTCTCTGACGGCTTCTTCTTTTCGGAAGAGTACGATCTCGACAGCAGCAACTCTCTCTCCTTCCGTCTGGCGAGTTCGGCATTCCGCTTCGCTTGTAATTGGGCGGTTCGGAAATCACCTCGTGTTCTGAGGATCGATTAGCACATGCTACATATTTCAAGACTAACCAGTGACTATAACGAGGAATCTCGTCGGCATGCGCAAGTAGTTTAAAGGTATCTTACCTCTTGAGATCCTCGGCCAATCGCCCTGCCATAGAAATGACCCGCTCTTTCTCAACCTCCTTCTGTCCATGCACAGCAGATGACTTGCGCCTGCTATCTGAGCCAGTTTCCAGCGCTTCGACCTCCACACGCAGCAGCTCCAACTCTTGTTCGGCTTCCTTCAGCCGGGAATGTATCTCACTCCCAAGCTCCAGACGGGCTTCATCGCCCTGGCCAATAGAAGCAGTAAAGTCGCGCAGTCGATCCACGAGGGGCTGGATTTGTGCTAGGGAAGCCGAGAGCTCTTTCACGCGGCCCTGGAGAGCTGTTGTGGAGGACATGTTGTTATAGACGCATTCAAGTGCTGTTTGTTCGGAGAGTTGAAGGGATGTTTCTGAAAATAGACACTAGTGGAGAATAAACCGAAAGATTCGAAACAATAAGTTGCTTCATAAGTGTCGAGTTGTCCAACTCAAGAGTTGCCAGCGTCATTAGGCGTTGTGTTTGCATCCGAGTCAAACATGCCCCATTTCCTCCAACCGCAATTCGCAACGGCCTCCGATGTGGTGAGAACTTCCAATTGACCTTGCGCCATTACCTATCAGACTTGTCGCAGACCGTCTAAGATCCAAGCAATTTTCTCCTTGGACCAATCTTCCACCGAGGGTCATTTGTCCAACCGCTGCGTGATCTACTGCAGAAACACCACCTTTAAAAAACTTCCCGCCAGCCTTCATCCACTCAGGTACGCAGCAACGGAACCAAGACGGAACTATAGGATATCATTCGCTCTTGCAAGATCAAAAACTGATCAATTTACCAGTCCGCAAAAGTCCCTCTCCTCGCTCACCACTCAACCGCAACAATGGGCATCCCCATCGCCACGATAACTACCTTCCGGACCGCCTACAACCCCTTCTCCCGCGCTGCCCGGCCATGCCGCCTCTTCCTGGGCATGCTGCGCACACCAGACACTATCCCAACCAGCAGCCCGACGCATATTGATATCAAGGTCAAGCAATTGCCGCGCAACTCCACCGAGTCACCGACCATGACTATCGGGTTCAAGGGCGGCAAGGAACTTACGCTGGATGTCGGAAAGCGTGGGCTGAAGATTGGCGATGTTATTGAGGAGGTTTCCCGTGTTGGCCGAGCTCTGCAGCGTGAGGCCAGCTTGAAGAACTAGAATTTTGTTGTTCGAGCTTGTATTCGTGTATTATATTACCTATCATTTTCATCTAACGATTTTGGCGCTGTTGGGCATGTGGAATACTTGAATTATTGTTGGTAAAGAACATAGGATGTCATGCTTCTACCTGATACTAGGGTTACTGGGGTAGATTTAAAGATCTTGCACAAACTGATCCTGAAAGTGATTGTTTCATTGCTATCCAGTTGAATTTTCATTTGCCCAGAGATTACTCTTCTCTACACCGTGGTAAGATTTTGAATACTGAGAGCGATTCATTGACAGTTCAGAAATGGGTCTTTTCCTCGGAAAATCGAAGAATGCACTTCCCATCAGGCGTAAGATCATAGGCTTGAAAGTTTTGAGTTAGTTTTATAGGTCTCTTTCAGAGAATATCATTTATACTGCGGCACCTGAGATGAAGAACCACTTGTCAATGCTTCCATCAATGGGAGCAGGGGGGAGGTTCTCGTTGCGGGGGATGGCAGCGAGCTGGGCCTGGTCAACACGGTCGGGAGAGTTCTCGACGGTGGTGTTGGCACTGTGCAGGTTAGCTTCAAATCCTCAAAAGGATATATGCATGTAGAACTCACAGGCTGATATCGCCACGGGGGGTCTTGCCAGTGACAAGCTTCTCCCAGGCATCGGAGCACTCGCGAATGACATCCTCGGCGTACTTCTTGTTCTTGCACTCGCCGGAGAAGGCGAACTGGTTCTCGGGCTTTCCGTCGGGGATCTTGTAGATGCGGAACCACTCGTTGGTGGCGCGCATGAGTCCAGGAAGCTGGCGCTCGACATCCTCGATGTCGTTGAGCTTGGGAGCAAGAGGATCGTTGACGTCGATGACAATGATCTTCCAGTCGGTCTCCTCCTCGTCAATCAGGGCCATGACGCCGAGAACCTTGACCTGCTTGACCTGGCCGGTGTAGCCGACAAGCTCACCAATCTCGCAAACGTCGAGGGGATCGTTGTCACCCTTGGCCTTGGTCTCGGGGTGGATGGAGTTGGGGTCCTCCCAAGTCTGGTACACAAGGTCAGTTTTTGCCCCTCTTCTTACCCACGGGTGTGGGAGGAAGGTTCGAAGCTTACGCGAGGGAAGGCACCGTAGTTCCAGAGGTAACCCTTGTGGGGGAAGCAGTTACGGACGAAGCGGAGCTTGCCCTTCTTGGTGTCCTGCTTGATGGGGTTGAGGAAATCATCCTTGGAGATCTGTTTGTTGAGGCAGTCAGTATACAGCTGAGGTCAATTGCGGGGCTGTGTGTCGTACCTCCTGCTTGGCGTTGGTCCAGCGGGGGATCTCAACGACCATGTTCAGGATGGTTTGCTGCTCGTTGGCGTAGAGAGGAATGTCATGGAAGGGAGAAACGGGGACGCCATCCTTCTCAACGAACACGCGGTGCTCGAGAGTGTATGGGGTACCGATCTTGCGGATGGAGTAAGTCATGCTGGGCGAGGTAGACGAAATGTGTCGAGATACTTGTGCCACACGGGATAAGGGAGAAGAAAAGGAAGAGGAAGAGAGAGGGGCAGCAGAAGTGGGGGGAGCCAGCGCTGCTGATGTGCGCCAAACACGGCGGGAGGCGGTGGAGGTGGCACTTCCCAGTCGGGCCAAGGGAGGACAAGTCATTGGCTGTGTTGGAAAGCTCTGGGTGCCGTGTTTGTTTGATTTAGTATTTCAGATACAAAACTTGAAACTGAATTATAACCTCAATCAAAGGGTATAAGCTGCAATGCGTGGCGGTGTTACCCCTTGTCGGAGGTTTGGGTATGGGGAAAAATTAAGAAACATGGCAGTTCCGAAAGTCGGCTTCTTATGGTCACCCCGACTTTGATATCCCGACTGGACCAGGCCAATGTGGATGTATATTGTATACAATTGACTACATGCGGTGAGACGTACATAGCATACATGTACGCTATATCTTTTAGCTATTTGACAGATGTATGTTGTACACCGCATGTACATACCCGACCCCATACTATGACGCCGATATCGGCAGTATACGTACGCCTATGTTGTCTAGATCGATTGCCTGTTCAGTCCAATTGTTTTCCTTCAATTGTAGAATCTTCACATTAGTTATACGGAGGCATCTTGGGATCACAACCTTGGAAGTCATGTCGTGATCCTTGGCTGGGAATGGAGCCCAACGATTGGCTGCTTTGGCTCAGCTTGAAAAATACCAGAATAAAGGTAAATTACATCAATACATGAAATCCAATGACAACCCTACTTCAAAAAACAGTTATCGCCACTATCTCCACGTGACTCAAGCTTTCCATCGCGAGTCACCCCAGGAAAAAAAAAGCCGCTCTATACTCCGCTCTCCCCGCACACCACATATGGGAATGCTATGATCAGAATTCTCCGCAAAACAATGGCAACACTCGCAACCGCAGCTACAACCGCCCCCGCGTCGGCCGTTGTGCCGCGCGTGCCCATTCCTACCAACGGCGTCGACTACCGCAACAAAATCGTCCTCGCTCCAATGGTCCGCTCAGGCGAACTACCCTCACGCCTCCTAGCACTGAAATACGGCGCCGACCTCGTCTGGGGCCCGGAAACAATTGACCGCGCGATGATCGGCGC